GATCTCTGTATCTGCTCCCATCAGCTGCAGGAGGAGGCCTCTCTGATGACAATTGGACTGGGCACTAATCTATGATAATAGAATATTGTCAGATATCAATTCATTGACTTTTTTTCTTTTTGGTCAGTTGTATATGGTTCTACCCTAGTTCTCTGAGCCATCCAACTTCTGGTTCTTATTCATCCAAGCAGTGTTGGACATGGGCTTCCTCTTTGATCTTGGGCCTCAAGTTAATTCAGCAATTGGTTGATTGCTTCACAAATTCCAAGACACCATTGCCCCAGAATATCTTGCAGACAGGACAAGTATGGGTTGAATATTTTTGTGTCTGGGTTGTTGTCCCATTCCCACCACTGGGAACCTTACATTGTTATATAAGATGGCCAGTTCAGGCTCCATATTCTCAAATACTTGGAGTCCTCATTAGGGTCACCCTGATAGCTTCCAGAAAATTTCTACCATACTAGGTTTCCACATCACTTCCAAAAGCTCCCCTATTGCACTCACCTTTTCTTATATTCTCTCCCTCTGTCCCTCCATTACTTACCTGATCTTTTCTGTTCCTGCCCCCAGTACACCCACAAAATCTATTTATCTCCTCTTCCCAGGGAGATCCATGGATTCCCCTGCCTCTACAGCCATCCTTGTTATTTAGCCTCTCTGAGTCTGTGGATTGTACTGTGGTTATTTTTTTACTTGACAGCTAATATCCACTTATAAGTGAGTGCATATCATGTGTGTCTATGTGGTTCTGGGTTACCTTGCTCAAGACAATAAACAACTCAATAAACTAGACATCCACAAGCCAAATAATCCAATTATAAATATGGTACATATCTAAATAGAATTCTCAATAGAGGAATCTAAAATGACTGAGAAACACTTAAGGAAATGTTCAACATCCCTAGCCATCAAGGAAATGTAAATCAAAATTACTTTGGTATTTCACTTTGCACCTGTCAGAATGGCTAAGATCAATAACACAAGTGATGGCTCATGCTGGCCAGGATACGGAACAAGGGGGACACTCCTCCACTGCTGGTGGGAGTGAAAACTTGTACAGCCATTATGGAAATCAATATGGCAGTACCACTGATAATCGGGAATCTATCCACCTGAAACCCAGCTTATGACTCTTGTGCATAACCCCCCCCCCATTCTCCTCTATCCTGTCACAAATACACTTGCTTAACTATGTTCAAAGCTGGTTTGTTCATAATTGTCAGGAACAGCTATGTCTGTAAGAGATTGTGTTGATGATTGATGTGGGAAGGCTCTTCCAGTGAGTTGGCAATATCTCTAAGCAAGTGGACCTAGGATGGATAGGAGAGCTGGCTGAGCACAAGACAGTGACAAAGCAAGTGAAGGCCAGGACACAGTGTTTGCCCATGGTTTTAATCTTCATTTTCTATACCACAATGATGGATTGTGACCTGGCAGAATCAGCTAAATAAACTTACCTGAGATGATTTTGATTAGAGGATTTAATCACAGCAGCAGAAAAGCAAGTTAGAACAAAAGGTGGAATACCAAAGTGATTGTGCTGTTGGGAAGTATCTGGGAATGTTGTCTTCTAGAGGAATGTAGAAGATATCGGGACTTAAATGGCAGAAGTCATAGAAAGCTCACACAGAGCTCAATAGGCTGTTCTTGTAGGACAAGGAAGATGGGACTTTTGAGAGTAATCCACACAGAGGAGGTCAGTGTCATAGATTTTAGTGAGAAATAGACTCCATGAAAGATTAAGCTAGACATCCTTTGTGTCTTATTTTGGCCTAAAATCTTTCTTATTCTGTCCTTGCTCTGAGAAATTGAGTAAGGCCAAATTAAAAAGTAATGGGCTGATTTCTTAGATGGAATATTGAATCTGTTGGATGCTTATTACTGATGACTCATTCAGATCTACAGTGAAAAAAAGCAACAAGTTGGACAGAAATAAATGACAACAAAAGGTAGTTTCAGATGGCAGTCATGTGCTGAAACAGTGGCAGGAATTTTCAAGGAGATCACCATTAAAGAGCAGGCCCTTTTCTACAGTGGAAGCCTATCTAGGTACCCTAAGGGCATCCTGTTCTGCCTTCAATTAATGGAAGGATTAGGCAAAGTGATTCCTATCACCCAGAAGCAGCTTCATATAAAACCTGCTGCAACTGTGGTCCAAGCTTGGCAAGGTCCATCTGAATAGGAAGGGAAACTTGTGCTGGCTCTGGAAACAAGAAAGAATCAAAATCTCAGGTCATGGATTCCTGGTCTGTGGTTTTAGTTCAGCACTCTTGTAGTCATCTATGGTTGGCAGAGTCAGAGCCCCAGTTAGGAGCCTGTGAGAATCCATTGCATGAAGCTTTGAGCATGAGCTGGGTTGCATTTTGAGACCACAAGACACTGAGATACATAAGCTATGAGATATCTGCCATGGAGAGCTGCATATAGAGAGTAGAAGTAGCCACAAAGAGATATATGAGAAATTTTTGGGAAAATGAGACACCTAAGCCCTTTGAAACTGAAGCTCCATGTGTCTGAGACAGAAGTACAGGATTTGGTGTTTGCCTTGCTAGGTTTCAGTCTTGCCTTGGTCCAGTCTTCCCTCACTGTGTTCCAGGCCCTCTTTGGGAATGGTAATGGGTATTCTGTGCCAATGTGTGTTGGAAAGATATAACATGTTTTCTGATTTTACAAGATGTGATGAGTCAAGTGATCACCTTGTGTCCAAGGTGTTCAAAGAGACCTTGAACATTTGAAAGGGTAGGTGCTGTTAAAGATAATGAGGATCATTGAAGATAGACTAGATGCATTTTGATCATGAGGTGACCATAAGCATATAGTGACCTAGGTCAGAATGTATTCGATTGAATGAAAACCATCCCAGATAGGATGGTGTATTTGAATACTTGTCTCTCCTTGATATCTTTGTTTAGTGTGCTTATAGAACCCTTAGTAGAAGGAGTCTTTCTGGATGAAATTCCTCATTGGAGAAGGGATTTGAGTGTCTATAGTCTCAATCCATTTTCTATGCAGCTATATCTCTAACCCCAGCAACAACCCCCACAATAAGCAAGCAACACACCACAGCCCAGACACCTTACCAGACAGCACAGTTTCTGGTGTTATCATGCCTCTAGTTACAGCTCCATCACCACCAAAGTCCACCAACACTGGAATAGGATCATCAGTGTCTCCAGGCCTCAGAGAAACAAATAGGACCATGACAATACCTTCAACAGCATTAAGCACACCAGAGGATGCCATCCCATCATCTGGAACTGGGACACCCACTCTTCCTGAGAAGTCAGCTTTAACTCCACTCTTCTTAACACTGGCCAACGTCACTTATACAAACAAACTTTTGCCCATGATGAGTATGGCAGTTACAAATACCTCTTCACCAACTACAGCCACTCTAAGGAGAACTGTTCATAGTATAGCCCCATCTGAGATTCAGGAAAGGACACAGCAACTGTATCCCTAACCCCAGCACCAAGGTCCTCAATGAACAAGTCACCAGACCCACACCACAGCACAGTCACACAGACATCTTCCCAGCCAGCCCAGATGGGCTCAAGCACAGGCACTGGTACAGCCCAATCACCTGAGCATTCCATAGCCCTTGTCCTTAGCTCATGTTCTTTGTGTCTGGCTGTCATGACTTCACCGTGATTATAGGTGATATCACTAAATCCCATATGATACTGTTGAAGCAATTGCTATTCAGTGCTAAGCCATTTTGCAACCTGAGTTTTTGTCAATTTTGTTGTTTTTATTTTTTGTTTTTGAAGAGAAGGTTTCTCTGTGTAGCCCTGGCTATCCTAAAAGTAGCTCTGTAGACCAGGCTGGCCTAAATTCAGATATCCGAAGATTTTGGCTCCTATGTCCTGTGATTAAATGTGTGCCATCATGCCTGGGCTTTTTTTTTTTTTTTATATTATTATGTGATGGGCCTGGAATGTATGTTTTTGTACATGTCAAGCATATGCTGTTTTGCTTGAAATTTCAAATCTGGCAGAGTGTACTATTCTTTTTCTCAGGATGACAGTACTCATGACATTAAAGCTGTATGAGCCTTCTGAGTCATTCAGTTGCAAGTGTGTGACATTCTTCCTACCTATTGTGTTGGTTTTCAGTTCTTTTGAATGAATATTTATCTTTTGCCAGTATGCATGGATTTGCACTACATGTGTGTCTGGTCCTCACAGCAATCAGAAGATGGTTTCACAACCCCTGAACTTATAGTAATGGATAGTTGTAAGCCCCCATGTAAGTATTGGCAATTGAGCCTACCTGTCTGCAAGACCAGCAAGAGCTCTTAAATGCTGAGTCATCTCTACTGTCCTATGTTGTTTATGATCAGCATTTACATTGCTAATCTTTGCATTTGCTCATTTGTAACTATAAACATGCATTCCCTTTTAGCAAGATCTTATTATTGTTATAGTTTAAACTGGTTTCTGGAAGATGAAAACAGAGCTGGAGTATATGCATAATTCTTTGTAGGAACTTCCATAAAAACCTGGGAGTTCTTTCTACCATTTTTGTACAATTTATTTTTATGGGGGAGACAGGGTCTTACTAATATGTAACTGGCTATCCTGAAATTAACTGCATAGGGCAGAATGGCATACAATTCAACTAATTTCACCTTTCTTTTGCCTCATGAGTGCTGGGATTATAGGCATGAGCCAATGCACCAAGCTTGCCCATCTTGTTTATAGTTAGTAAGTGTTCATTCAATTTCTCTGATGTGTACTTTGATCTGTTTGCTTGCATCTCATTTTATATCTGTTAATAGGCATTTCTCCTGCAAGGCTATATCCTAGACAAAGTGTGAAGAAATGACAGAGGTGAACCTAATTGTTCATTTTTTTTTTCTAAAATGAATTGATGATTAGAATGTCTGTGTCTTGGAATAAGTGTGGGGAGTCCCAGAATTATACAAATATATTGTCAAAGAAATACACATTAGCATGCTGTCAGTATCACACTTTCTGTTGTATGGGATATTTTAGATTGCAGTGACCTATGATGATGTGCATATTGACTTCACTTGGGAGGAGTGGACTTTGCTGGATTCTCCCCAGAAGAATCTCTACAAAGATGTAATGTGGGAGACCTACAGAAACCTCACTGCTATAGGTAAGACTGAATTTTTCATCACATTTTAAAATAAGGGGACAATTGTTCTTTGGTTATTAATACTCTTCTGTAATTCTGATTGAGAAATGAGAAGAATGAGGTGAATAAATCTGGCATGGTTCTAAAATTCACTGAAGATAGTAACTTAAATTTTGCACAGTTTCCCATAATATATCATACATTTTCTGGTACTGTATTTTAGGTTGCAGTTGGGAAGATCATAATATTGAAGAACATTGTGAAAGTTCTGGAAGAAATGGAAGGTAATTTTCATGTGCTAGGTGAACAAATGAGCCTATGGAGAAATTGTAATGTGTCCCAGAAGTTTTAAACAAAAGCAACAATGTAAATAAGCACAGTTTAAAGTGTACTGATGATTGTTAAATTCTCACAAAACCAAATACCTCAATGTCAGGGAGCTGATATGTGTTTGCAAGGCATTGCTCTGAGAAAGAACACAAGGAAACAATGCCTTAAATATCCCCATTTGAATTACAGCTCCATGATAGCTCTGCTGTAGATCAGCCAATCTGTTTAATTTTATGCCAATCGGATATTGCAAAAGGAATATGTGTTGAATAGGTAATAAGTATATATCGAAAACATTCTAATAAGCAAATAGTTCAGAGTAAATGAGTGTTACTCATATACTTGTGATTTTTCTAAATTTAGGGAGAGGGTTAGTTTATGAGAGTCAAGAAAGTTGTGGTGGAGAATCATTAATCTCTATACCACATGTCTTTGAGGAAGAGAAAATCAAGCTGTGTGGATGCAGTGTGGAAACTTTGTTTGTTAGTTTTCCTTTATTAGTACATCATATTTCACTCTGAATAAAAGCCACGTGAGCAGAGGGATAGATATGGAAGGAAGCAATATAACTCTGTCTTAAAACAAAACAATTAGAAGATATGTAGTAGTCCCCACTTCGAGTAGAATTTTTGAATGTGATGCAAGTTTAAAATTAATTGGTTTTCCAACTTCATTGAGAATACATAAACAAAATTACACTGCAGAAAAGCCCTATGAGTATTGGAATGTATAAAAATGTCTGTTTGTCCTGCTTTGCAAATGTAGTAATGACTCTCACTATTAGAAAGTTTATGAATGTAATAAGTATGTTAAAGCTCTGAGTTCTTCCAGTTCTCTTTAAACATGTGAAGAATCTCATATAGAATAATGATGCTACAAATATAGACCCTGTGATGAAGACTCTTATCATTACAGATACCTTCAAAGACACAAAACATACCTAAATGAAGGGGAGCAGTATGAGTGTACACTTTTAGATCTTATTTGTCTTAAAAATTAGACCAAATTGTAAAATTAACTCATATAGATATAAATATTCATCAGTGTACTGAATATGATAAATCTTTTACATGTGCTAAGTATCTTTACAGGTTCAAAAAATGTCATAGTGGAGAGAAACCCTGTGAATATATTCAATGTGCAAAAGCTTTTTCACAACACAGTCATCTTCAAATGCATGAAAGAACATTTTCTGGGGAGAAACCCTACAAATGTAATCATTGTGATAAAGACTTTGCATATGCCACTAGTCTCCAACTACATGAAAGAACACATACTGGAGAGAAACCCTACAAATGTAATCAGTGTGATAAAGACTTTTCACGATACAGTGATCTCCAAATACATAAAAGAACACATACTGGAGAGAAACCCTACAAATGTAATCAATGTGATATAGCCTTTGCAAGTCATAGTCAACTCCAAATACATGAAAGAACACATACTGGAGAGAAACCCTACACATGTAATCAATGTGATAAAGGTTTTTCACAATATGGTAATCTTCAAATTCATGAAAGAACACATTCTGGAGAAAAACCCTATGAATGTAATCAATGTGGTAAAGCCTTTACAAGTGCCAGTAGTCTCCGAACACATGAAAGAACACATACTGGAGAGAAACCCTACAAATGTAATCAATGTGATAAAGCCTTTTCACAACACTGTCATCTCCAAACACATGGAAGAACACATACTGGAGAGAAACCCTACAAATGTAATCAATGTGATAAAGACTTTTCACGACGCAGTCAACT